CAGGTCCTGACCCCGCCCCGTCTCAATGTCCAAGCAATCATCAAAGCGCCAGGTCCTGACCCCGCCCCGTCTCAATGTCCAAGCAATCATCAAAGGGGCAGGTCCTGACCCCGCCCCGTCTCAATGTCCAAGCAATCATCAAAGCGGCAGATCCTGACCCCGCCCCGTCTCAATGTCCAAGCAATCAGCAAAGCGTAGGATCGGTCAGAAGACCCTCATCTCCAGCCCCATTCATATCATCGCATGCAAACATCGTGATTTTTACCACAAACAGATAAATTAACATGCATAGTAGATTCCCTTTTCGATTCAGTTGAAGTTTTAAAAAAAAAGCAATCAAGACATATACACAAAGTCAAAGTCAAACAAATCAAATGCCAGGTTTGTACAAATAGGGGTTTATGGGGTTTCTAATGGTATTGTGACGGCCTACCTCGTAGTTCCCTGCCTCCAGGGTCCCGCCTGAACCCCAGCAGAGCTCCCGCAATCGGTGGGGCGAACCTCCCACAGAGGCCTTGGCACGGATTACGGGTTTCAATCCCGCCTGCCGCCTTCCTCTCTGAACCAAAAGACTAGACTGAGAGTAAGAAAGGCAGAAGGAGAGAGATTGAGTCGCTCAGATACAAGAGAGGTGCGCTCAGACTCGCGTGAGAGGGCCTTGATTCCTTCACTCGCCTGAGGGCCCCGCAATGGCAGCCAAAAATCCAGAACAACTTGGTCCACCGAAGCCCAACTGCCCACTCTTGACTTCTTGGCGATCCTCCCTATTCGCAGTAGTACTGTTATGTTTGTCTTCCACTTCGTTGTCCCGCCTTCCTCCTTCCTCAACTATATCTTCTTCTTTCTCTCCGGTCTCTCCTCCCTTCTCCACTCCTTCCTTCGTCAACCCCGTGTCCGAGCTCCGCGGCTATAGCCGCTACCTCTTTCTTTGTCGATCTGCACAACCACTCCCGTATCACTCTCTCTCTCTCTCTCTCTCTTCGTGGTGATGTCTTCAGCGCAGGTGTGTACCAAACCAATCTCGTATCACTTAGTTCCCTCTCTCTCTCTCTCTAGTAGGATGGGCGAGGTCGAAAATAAATGTTCCGCTAGAAGGCCAAAACATGCACTGTACTTCAGAGTTTAAGGAATGGCTACTTCTGTCGCTAGGATGGACAAAAATGAATTGAATTTTCTGCCAGGAAAACAGAAGCATTCACTGCACTCCGAATTCATCCACCCGTGTGCCCAAGGAAACAGGGAGAGGCTATCTGCATAAACAAGGCGAATCTTTTGCCAAAACACGGAAGGATACAGCCGCTCTGAGACCGTTGTCTGGCCGCTCCTCCTTCGCACGGCCATCAACGCCTGCATTATCTATCAGTCAAAAGTACCGTCATAGCCAAATCTTCATGCGACAGTTATGCAGACCACCCGACATAGCGCACCGTCACACTCGGATGGAAACAACCAGCACGTCCTCAGCGACGAGCATCATCACCCATAGAATCGAGAAAGAGCCCTCAATCTGTCAGTCTTTGCTAATGGAATTAACTAGACAACTCACTCCTCCAACTAAGAAAGGCCATGCACACAGAGAGGTAGAGACTGGCTGCTCCTCTTCCGTAGGATGGGCTTTGTACTGGCCACCAGCCCAGTTTGCACTCCACAACTGTCCTATCACAGCTCTGCCCAGCAGCATGCAACGCTGCCGACTAAGAACCGAGCATGCAGCCTTTACCACTGCCTCCCGTTACTTCGTCCAACAAGATGTCCAGTGCCTCACCAACAGGTAAGCGTAGGACTTATAGTTTAATCCATATACCTTTGATTTGTTTGGATCAACAGCACTTCAACCAGCAGGCCCAGCTTCAGGTCCTTGCGGCTCGTTCAACGACCAGTAGGTAAGTTTCCTGCCCTCGCTGCCTTCCAGCCCTTCCGCTTTGCCAAGATGTCAACGAGAAAGTTCCTTGCCCTGCTGCTCACCCCTCGCTACTCCGTACAACGGGCTGGGCATCTATAGCGACTAACAGGTAAGGCTCCGACTCTGCAGCTGTCCCCCGCTACCTATGCAA